GTTTCAGTTCCCCAGGAAAAATTCAGGGAAAATTAGGGACAGCCTGTAGGCGCACTGTAGAGCCGTATTCAGACCCCGAAAACAAGTAAGGATTCTTCACCCTATTTCCTATCACGGTATTAAAGTGCAATAAATGATAAAATGATATTTCATGAATCAATAGCTATGTGAAATTATTTAAGGTTGCTAATGGAGCCCGAGTCTAGTATATTTGTCGATCAGTTGTTATTTGTTCTATTTTACAGTTTTAAATGCAGTATGATGTCTAATATTTTTATTTCATAGTTTCGTGTGCATGTATCACTGTTTCATTGATTATGGACTGAATGACTGAGAACCTGATGTTGTGTGTTGTCTTGTTGGCGTGAACTACCGGTTTGCATGTTTGTGTGTGACTTGATGATGGTGACTAAAGAAAAAGGGATAAAAAGTTATGTGAATTGGCAAACGAATAATGTGGACAGCCTAACTAGGTATCCTGGGAGATGGTGGACGGACCGGGTCCGTAGGGAACCCTACCGGGAACGTGGTCTCTCATACTGGACGGGGTATGGAGACCTTATATGTTTTTGGCACCCATACTGGACGAGGTATGAGGATGACCCGTTTCACCCTCATACCGGACGGGGTATTGAGGTTCATGGTTTTGGCGCCCATACCGGACGGGGTATGGGGACGGCCCTGGAATCAGATTATAAATGTTAAGGGTTCACGGGTAGCGGGACCCCTATGGATCCCCATGGATACTAGTAGGCTGGTAAAGAGGAATTATGCTGTTTAAAGATTGAAATGCAAACGCGTGATAAATGTTGTATTATAAAGTTTATGTGATAACGTGATGATGATAATGTGTTGCTTGTGTATTGTTTTATGGATCTCACCAGGTAAATGGAAAGTAAACATTTTTATGAACAAATGGGTTTATTACAAATTATTCTCAATTGGTCGTTTTTATTTTCTACCCATCCTTACTCCTGTGGCAGCGAGGTAGAGTGATGTCTTTACTGGGCTAGTGTAGCTCACTCCTTACTTAACCATTTCAGATCAGGAAGACGTGGTTCCCGAGCTCGTTCCGCAGGAAGACGGCGAAGGGGACGCCTGAAGACTCCGTAGTTATATTTATAGCTTTTATTTTCGAGTTTCTCTTTTAGTTAGTTTGTTCTTTTATACTTTGAACACATTTTTTGTTTTAATGTAAGGGATGTTAATCAAAATTTTTATTACGCTTCCGCATTTGACCTTTTTAATACACATATTTCATTTTAAAATTCCGGGGCCGTTACAGCATCCATTTACAGTCACTAAATCAATGTGATCTAAATATTATAAAATCTCTAAGTTTATCCATAATGCACAAAAATATTTTCTTTCGAGATCTACCAATACATATTAAGAAAAAGATTCTTTTAACTTAAAATATACATTAAGTTGTTCTCTTACTTTATTACTGAATTCAAATTCACTTAATCCCTTGGCAAAGTATGGAAAAACCTACATATATGATTTCTATGGTTTAGTTGAATCTTCACTATTTTATTGAACAGTCTCGAATGCATGCAATTTTTTTTTTAAAAAAAAAAATTGCAGCTAACATAAATACTAATTTCTATAAGATATTGTTTTCTCTTACCTCTCAAAAAATAGAAACCATAAAAGGTTTTTTACAAATTGGAGGATAACTAATTTTCAAAATTTATCCTCAACTAATCTTATACAGCTATATCATCTATAAGTTGATCTCACATCAGACTTATAACATTTTAAAAATTATCATCATATTATAAATTGGGCCTTGTCAATATTATCAATTTTTATAATTGCTAATATTTTAGTAAAAAATTGAAATTACCCACTATTAAAATGTGTTCTACATTTTGGTAATCATGTTTATGGAGTATTCTATACCTTTATGCATACTTATCTTTTCTATTAAATTATTATCTTAACTTGGAGAATGAGTCATGTTACAACTAAGTTCATAAACTAATAAAATTATTTTTAAAATACTGTTTTTAATTTTTTTCTAGTAATTAAAAAAGTATCTTTTAGATTGGTTTGGATGAAATTAGAAAATGACTTAATGTACATAAAAGTCATTAAATGTAATGAAGACTTGAGATTGAAACAATAAAATTAACGAAATTATTTGTACAGGTGTCATGCATTTTTTTTTTCCTTCTAATTTTTACGGTAACACTTGAGTTCAAAAATTTGATCCGAAATAATTTTTCATTAATAATATAATATATTAAAATAATTTAATCTTGTCTTTTTATTTTATTTTTATGAAAATTTTAAGAAAAATAGATTTAGAAATAAAATTGAAAATAATTTTAAAAAATAGGTGAAACTGTGAATAAGAAAGAGTGTTTTTGAAAGAAAATTTAAAACATCGGGTAAAATCTCAAAAATTAAAAATACGACCATGCAGGATGGTCACGTCAGCAGCAACAGCGAGTAAAACACGCCGCGTGACGAAAACGTTAACATTGATTCCACACGAGAGGCTAAGTGGGAGATCCGCGTGTCAGCGAATCCAACGGCCTATATCGCATCTCGTGTGCACGGACAGCCCAGATGCGTTTTCTCTTCAGGCACGATCGAACGGTCAGATTCAATTCGATCATGTGACCTATATTCATTTCTCGAATAAGAGAGATCCAACGGATGAGAGAATGTCACATGTCCTTGTACGGACGGTCCAGATCGACTCGATGAGGGTATTTAAACTTCGCACTCCAAAAAATCTTAACCTTAGCGGCACCAGTCCTCACTAAAGAAGAAGAAGGGCGGCCAGGAAGAAACTAATTGTCATCGATGTTGCAACAGAGCCATCGCCGACGCTAAAAAGTTTTTTTTCTTTCCCTTTTCGTACAAAATTCGATTCTAAACCAACCCATATTCATATCGGAGCCGAAAGACCAACGGATGAGCCAGAAAACACGAGCAAAACTCGGTCGAGCCATCCTGGCCGAAATTCAAAACCTCCTCCGATGAGCCCCTTCCCATTTTCTGTTTCCCTCGATTTTCTGACCATTGTGTTCTCCGTCTCTTTTCGGTGCAAGTTAGCCGAATGAGAACCCCGGTCGCGAATGAGGAACGACAGAGTCGCCGTACCTAGAGACCCTTCCGACGATAGGGTTTTGGTTTTCACCTTTTTCGGTCAACAGAGGCCCTCTAACTTGGTTTTTTGTAGGTTTCT